TGGACACACTACCTACCAAGTCTGCGGAAAGACCTAAGGCAGGTCGTGGTGTGTTGTTATGGCCACATTTCGGTGAAGTTGCTAGCGTTACATAGACAAAGTTCTCCTTAGTGTGTGCTGTACTTAATAAGACAATTTTCTGTATGTCTCTTAAGCTGGGGTTTCCAGGGATTCTTTCAGTGTGTTGTTTTGTTCCATTTTTTATAATTCCAAGTGCACCTATTACCACTGGTATTATTCTTGTTTTCAATTTCCACATTTTTTTATTTCAATTTCAGGTCTTTGTATTTTGATAGTTTTTCAAATTCCTTGGTTGCTATGTTTACAATCCGCTGGACAAGCCATATCAATTAGTAGGCAAGTTTTTTCTTTCTGGTTTTTGACAATAATGTCCGGATTATTATTATTATTATTATTATTATTATTATTATTATTATTATTTATAATAATAATAGTTAAAAAGAAGAGCGCGATTTAAGAAAAGGAAAAACAGTGTTTGACAATGAATGTCCGTCTTCTTCAAGTTTGAATAATTTTTTCAAGTTTAAAAGTATATAAATCTACAAAAGTTATTACAAGTCTAAATTTTATTACTGATACAGTAATTGTGACACAAGGCCCCACAATGGTGGAGACTGGTCAAGGTTGGTTATTACTAGCTATCTTATACGTAGCTAATCGGATTCACGCCCCATTAATTCGTTTATATATACTCATTAACCATCAGAATTTATCCGTCACCATTCGTTCCTTTATACACCAAAATACGTCACACACACTAGGCACCTACAGGGAAAAAACACCGCATGAGTTAAAATGCCCAATATGTACAATTGTGTGTGTACATATATATATATATATATATATATATATATGAAGAAAAATATACTGAAAAAAGAAACAAAAATCCTAATATGCGATTATGCTGTTTTAATGTTTAATGTCAACGTCGGACGTTTCGGTCTAATAGACCATCTTCAGGACATATTCATAAAACATAATTAACACAGACCATATACAATTCAACATGAAAAGGACGACGTTGACATTAAACATTAAAACAGCATAATCGCATATTAGGATTTTTGTTTGTTTTTTCAGTATATTTTTCTTCATACTGTCGGATCTATATCCATATATTTGCTTACATATATATATATATATATATATATATATATATATATATATATTGTGTGTGTGTATTTAGGTATCAATTTTCATTGATGCATGATCCATTAAATAATATAGACAAGTTTTTGTCTATTTATTTTATGTAAATTCTTTTCATATCGGCTGATAAGCTTAATAACATTATCATTAAAATAAGAAAGAAAATCACAATATTGATACATATTTTTTAATACTATCGAAGCTTTCGGCTTACATAAGCCATTATCAAAGATGACAATTACATAACAATATATTAAGCAATACACGGGCAAAACAATGATGATAGTCTGTGTATGTTTGCATGTAAGCTTTCCAAGCAACGACAAAATCGTGCATACGAGATGCTGGAAGCGAAAATCGCTCCGCAGCTCCTGACGTCACACATGACCACGCGAGAGTGAAAACGAGAAGTATTAAGTATGGGAAGCCGTTGGTATAAACAAATGGGATCTGTTATAAATTATAGAAGCGAATATTTGTGGAGATTTCATAGTTTATTTTGTTCAGGTTAGGTTTCAACTGTTTTATGTATACAGCTTCAAGAATTTCTAGTTATTGTTTATTGTTTTTTATGTTTAAGGTATATATATATATATATATATATATATATATATATATATATATATATTCCTGAAAAATTAATTTCGATTGAACTCTCTGGGGGAAGGGAGTGTGGGTTTGTAAGCAGTGACTATTATGGCTGATATAGTGAGACTCTTCAGTAAATCGAATCGAGTCCTGTCGGTCACTGTGTGTTTATCTAAAAAAACAAATACGCTTAAATTCACCTTTAAGCCGGTCGTGAGCCGGCGGCTTAGTAGTAGAATCTCCGACTGCCGCCGATTCAGTCGGGTTTCGATCTTAGCTAGAGGCAACCGGACGTCTAGCCACACTGAAGAGCTGTGATACAGCAAAACAGTCTATCTGTGGATGACATTATATATATATATATATATATATAATCAATTAAAATACGTGACCTTCTGACGGTCTCTTCGGGCGATATTTTTAAAAATGGCCACCACGAATCCTACTTCCTCATTATGTAATCGAGAATTTTTTTCTGATTCAGAGTATGTCTCCGTTTAGTTTTTATTTTGTTTCTCAATTCTTACGCTCCCAGTCTTATAGATAAAAAAGAAACTCCAAGAGACACAGAGAGAGAGAGAAGTGGTTCTACAGTCGAATGGCGTTTGAAACCTGCTTGATTGCTATGTAATATCTAATCTCCTATACGACATTGAATGCTGGGCAATCTCTTCACAGATGAAAATACTTAAAACATCAGTGATGTCGTTCGAATGTCGAATGTCTGAATAAGTACAGAATTGTTTTCTAATATTTAATTCCCTATACGACAGTTCATACTGGAAAATCTCCTCGCAGATGTGATGTGGTTCTACTATCGAACGTTTTTTAGAAACAAAAAATGAGTGCTATGTAATATATAATCTTCTATACTACGGTGAATGCAGAACAATCTTTTAACACGAAAAAAAAAGATTGAAACAGCAGAGATATGGTTCTACTGTCGAAATCTAAGAATACTATAAACATGTGTACAAGAAAAGGTTTGGTTTGGTTTGTTCTACGGCATATCAACCTCAATGGGTTATTCAGTGTCGATAAGATTTTTAGGAGAGGTTCGTATGAATAGAATATGTATTCATTGTTTTGGTTTATTTTGTTTTACGGCATATCAACTTCAATGGGTTATTTAAAGCCGACAAGATTTTTAGGAGAGGTCCGTATGAATAGAATATGTATTTCTTGGTTTGTTTTATTTTGTTTTACGGCATATCAACCTCAATGGGTTATTTAATGCCGACAAGATTTTTAGGATAGGTTCGTATGAATAGAATATGTATTCATTGTTTTTTTTATTTTGTTTTACAGCATATCAGTCTCAGTGGGTTATTTAATGCCGACAAGATTTTTAGGATAGTTTCGTATGAGCAGAATATGTATTCATTGGTTTGGTTTATTTTGTTTTACGGCATATCAACCTCAGTGGGTTATTTAATGCCGACAAAATTTTTATTGCTGGTAATATGTTTTTCTTCAAAGATCTATTTCTTGGTATATTTTTCCTTGAAGAAACCTATAGCTGGTCATATTTTTTTCAAAGAATATATAACTGTTTGTATTGCTAGTACTTTTTTAAAAACCATTGTTGATTATAATTTTTCCTTCAAAAATTATTGCTGGTGAAATTTTTTTTTAATTACAAAGTATTTCTTGTATTAAAACCTATTTTTACACAAGTTTGGGTGTCAACTATTTGCACATAGTTGGTACCCTAACAGGTGCGACCACCCCGGGTCAGGGTGATCCTGGGAACACCAGCAATTAAGAGGTGGTTCCACACTCCTCAAAAAACCCTTAGCAGAGGCCTTGCTGTTGGACGTAGTTTATCGTCTTAGCCAGGGCGCGGTTGTAGTTTATCGTCATACCCAGGACGGACAATGAGAAAAGAGCATAGGAATTACAAGGAGATGTATAGTTACAATCAGAACGAAACATCTAAATTTGCTGGGACGAATAATGAGGAAAGACAGACTGTTGAATTTAATATAGGGAGAGCGAGACATGCTTTCCAGAAACTAAGTATTTAGAAATGTCGCTAGAAACAAAGAAAATAAAAGGTGGAAATGTGTCATATCTAATAGAAGTGAATGCTGGGTAACAGTCACACAGATAAAGCTGTAAGCGGTAGAGATAAATGCCATTACGCCCTCAGGGAACATGTCATTAAGAAACATGATATGCTTTCCTAGGAGATGCCTTCCTAGCATAGATTTCTGATAGATTAAGCGTTAAAAAGAACTAAGGCACCTCTCAGGATGTAAGACCTTACAAACGCCGTCTTAGAAATCAGTTCGCTAATGTAGCGAATTCGCTTTCTCCTCTTCCGTTGGCCTCCAGCCAGCCCAAACTATGTTTAGTAAGTAAGAAGAAATACACTCTTTTGTACTTATGAACATACTGAGGAACCTACATCATCTTGAAAATCCTGCAATCCATTAACTTAGGGTCGTTTGAGAACAAAGAAAAACTTTTTAGACTTTTGTCAGCTCACCACGCAACTTCCGCTGGAAACTATGTAAGTAATTATGATGCAACCAAAAGATTCCTTTCGGAACGAAGTAAAGCCAAGCGTCTTCTGACTAAATCACGTCTTTCAACCACTATTCCGATTACTGGCAAACCGTTTTCCCTAAACTGCATACAGTAAAGCCCAGCAGAGAGCAGAGAAGTTGCCAAAAATATGTCATGGCGTATAGCATCAAAGGTTGCAAGGTAATGGTCAGATCTCGTTGGCTTCATAATCTCATTCAATTATCGACTGGCTTGAAAGAAAACGTCCAATTGTGTTATGGCCAAAAGCGCGCTTTATAGTGAAACACAGTCAGAATGGCGATGACCGAAAAGACTGGAACGTTCTTTGCCCACCTCGATTTTAATGTCGATTAGTTCTCTCTAATCTGCTTCCGAAATTTGATTTCTTTGAGGAAAACACGACTTTTCTTCCTCCACTGTTTGCAATGCTTGTCATATTGCTGTTGATCGATAAGTAAACTTCAGTGTCCCGTGTTCGATCCCGCCAAACGCTAAAAATTTCAGGAATTTCTGTTTCTCTGTCTGGCTTCTTAAAAAATGTGGGCAATCTTTATCATTGTATATGTTATGTCCTTACGGCAATGTCACGTTGAAACAACGGTTCTCGAATGATCAGCGAAGTTAAGCAACATCAAGCCTGGTCACTACGTAGATGGGTGACCGCTTGAGAATCCAAAGTGCTGTAAACTTTGATGTGCGTGTAGTATGTCTTACGGCCATATCATGTTGAAACACCGGTTATCGAACGATCACCGAAGTTAAGCAACATCGAGCCTGGTAAGTACCTAGAAGAGTGACCGCTTGGGTATTCAAGATGCTTTAAGCTTGGATGTGCGTATAGTATATCTTACGCCCATATCATGTTGTAACACCGGTTCTCGAACGATCACCGAAGTTAAGCAAACTCATGCCTCGTCAGTATGTAGATGGGTGACCGCTTGAGAATCCAAGGTGCAATAAGCTTGAAAGTGCGCTTGGTGTAATGGATAAGGACTCGGAATTGGAATTCAGAGAGCCGGGTTCTAATTCCAGTCGATATATTCACTTACACACAAATATCATTGGGGGAGTTATAAATCCAACTCTTCTCCCCCTGCTATGGGTTAGTTAGTAGGATTTGTATGAGTAAATCATTATTATCGCCCCCCCCCCCAATTCTTGCAAAATAAAAATATTTTCTAGCATTAAAGAACCTACAAATAGTTGCTATATAACACGGCCGGTCCGGCTCGATCCTGGGCTGTTTAGTATTGCCACCGGTCAGCTGATGGTAATCTGCTTTCCGCTTCGTTTCTTCATCTGCCTCTGACCCACGATGTTGTTTCTTGAGAAATGAAGATGGAGTTTCGCCCGTACTTGAGCGCTGGATCAGACCATGGCAGAACGGTGCTACAAAAGGACACATAACTGGCGAAAAAATAAAAATGACATGACAAAATAGCGAAGAACATCGCTGGATTAATTTTCAATTGGTTTATATAGTCGTTGATACAATAAAATCAGCTCTTTTCTTTTCTTATCGTGACACTTTGCCTTTGTCTTCAAAAACTTGGAACGGGTTAAAAAAAAAATCCAGCAAGGTAAGGTCGGTAACTCTCTCGGCAGCAGGTGATGTGGGGTTCAGCAGCTCTTTCGTCTGCTGCTGTCTCGTTTCGTCTGCGTCTCTTTCCGTCTTTCGCTCCAACTCCTAGCTCTTTTAAGCGCTCTGCTTTTATGTATTTCTCTCAACTCCCATCGCACCTGAAGACTCATCAATATTCATATCAATTAATTATTTTATCGCTCCAATTTTAGACAACCGATACTGACCTTAAAGTAAAGCAGTCACTTCTTCAAAGACATACATTCTTCGACAACAAACTTTTTTTTTATCATTCCTATGTCCTCATGACAATATTTACTCGATACAATAATTTTCCGATTACAAAATTTGTGTTTATAAATTATTTTCTATGTCCATGACGTCAATGAACTTTGTTGTCGACTTTTCAATATGACCGATTAAAAGCTTTACCCATTTTGCCTGTTTCCAAAACCATATTCCAGATTGTTTACATTATTGGCTTGCGATTTATAACAATTCCATCTGTCTCTTGGTCTAAAAGCGATTGACATTCCGCATTTATCAAATTATATTTTGGATTCAACATTTCATTCGGCGTTTCTGGTTGTCATAAAGGAAAAAAATATCTTTTTTTTGCCTTGCTTCATATTTCAATTCACGTTTTCACCTTAACATTTTTAACGCTTTCAATTCTCCAATTACTATCCGGAGTTTTCACATGAACCCTTTTAATCATCATTTCATACTACCAGTTTCACAGTAGTGTTACGATAAGTCATAAAAACACAACCTATCAGTCTATGACGCGAGTGATCATCGCTCACCACAGCTTCCTCGCTTTTGTCATAAGTATTTTTTACTATACCTCTTCATTTTTCTATTAAGTGCTTTGACCCCAGTTTGTGGGGTTAACTATTTTCCCATAGTTGAAACCCTGACAGGTGCTACCACCCCGGATCAGAGTGGACCTGAGAACCCCAGCAATTAAGAGGTAGTTCCACGCTTCTCAAAACCTTATGATGAATGGACTTGCTGTCGGACGTAGTTTATCGTCTTAACGAGGACGGCGGTCAGTTTAGGGCCAGGAAAATAGTCGATTGCAACGTTACAGTAACGTTGCCATATGCCCCCTTCCCCCGACCAAAATACGGCAATCTCTAACCTTCTTGCTCGCAACATTGAATAGAAATTATAGCGTTGCACGTTGGTTCAGCATTACAGACTCCTCTTTTCAAGGATCTTCTTCTTTCTTATGCCTCTTGATTCCATGGGGAACATAGGGACGCAACAACACCTCCCCAAAAGACGCGGTTCAGGGGGATCCTCTTCAGCTCGGCCCATGTCGTGACGGCTGCCTTCACCTTCCCAGCACACGTCATACTCTCCATTTTGGAGGACTTTTCCTCGGCCATGTCGTTGTTTGAAGATATCGTTGAGGTTTCTGTAACAAGCTACAACTGTGAACCTGGAGGACCAGAGTGTATCTTTCGTCTGGCTCCTACCCAGCAGACCATTTGAGCTTGGTTGAAACTGCTAATGGCCAAAGCCCCCGCCAACATAGCTCTGGGAGTCGTTGAAGCACGCAAGCCATCCTTCTACGTCAAGGCGACACACCATTAGGGCGGCTTTTCACGTAATTAAATAATAATTACATATAATACATTTATTTCCAGAAGAATCTAGGTTGCTCATTTCAATCGTGATATAATTATTTACAGCATAACATATGGTTTTTAACTTTGAAAAAATATCTCCTCACTTTGGACTTGAGTAACTGATTGTGTACCGATGTCTTTACGAAGTTCTTATTTCTTTTTATTACTAAAATAGTTGTCTGCGTTTGTTTCTTTATTGCATTTTTATTTGATATAGGGGGCCTGTTTCATCAAGTGAGGGGAACTATCCATCGGGTAAGCTAACACACTGGGCAGTAACGACTCTTTCTGAAGGCGCGTTATTTGAAATCTGGTTTCGTATTTGCAAATCAATATATTGATAAGCTTCGCTTATTCTGCGGGAATATTCTGTTTCAGAGGAGAGCAAATATTGAACTTTGGGGACATAACGAAGAGAATGGTGTTTGGAGACGTTAAGGCGAGAATTCAATCCAAAGAACATCGTGGCCAAAACACAACATAGAACAGGAAAAGTACGTTGCTTCAACATTACAGATTCATATTTTCACGTAAAGTTGATAAATATCAATAAATCCTAATATATAATATATATTTATTTCCAGAAGAAGCTAGATTGAGGCTTTCAATCGTGCTATAATTATTCAGTTCAGAACGTTTAGAAAGTTTTTTGAAATGTCATTCAGGAGAAATATATGGATGGAAATAAACCAAGACATGGTAGGAAGACGAAACTGTCACTCCTAGCAGAACATAATCTAAGACATTGTGAAAATAACCCAAATGTTACAACTACCCAACTAACAAATTGACAACGTTTGGTCATTTTGAAGGACAATAAAAATATGGATGCAAATAATCCTAGAATTGGTAGAAAAACAAAACTGTCAATCCTAGCAGAAAGTAATCTAAGACATTTTGAAAATAACCCAAATGTTACAACTACCCAACTAACAAATTGACAACGTTTGGTTATTTTGAAGGACAATAAAAATATGGATGCAAATAATCCTAGAATTGGTAGAAAAACAAAACTGTCAATCCTAGCAGAAAGTAATCTAAGACATTCTGAAAATAACCCAAATGTTACAACTACCCAACTAACAAATTGACAACGTTTTGTCATTTTGAAGGACAATAAAATATGACAATGAAAGAAAAACAAAACTATGGATGTAATCTAAATAATCCTAGAATTGGTATTTTGAAGGACAATGAAAATATGAAAAACAAAAAAAACAAAATTGTCAATCCTAGCAGAAAGTAATCTAAGACATTTTGAAAATAACCCAAATGTTACAACTACCCAACTAACAAATTGACAACGTTTGGTCATTTTGGAGGTCAGGAAAATAAATGTGTATAGATGAGATTACCTTTTTTGGTTAAGAGGAATCCACGACGATCACGTCACGGCTGGTAAGTGACTTCAGTTCGTGTTGTGACAAAATCCGAGATGCTATTTAGCGCGTGTAGAGGCAAGACATGTCTCGCCAAACCAGTTGCTGATACTAGTTGCTAAGGCACATAGACGTCATTTCAAGGCCACAGCCCTAAGGAGACAATCAGAAAAACTTTAAACATAAACTTGTAAACCAGACCAATGATGACACGAGCGAATTGAAATATTTAACTGAATCATAATAAAATTAACTTCCATTTCAATGGAATGTTGAAATCAACTTCAGTGCTTTATAACTTGAATTGTCAGTGACCCAACGAATCACGGGATGTCTAGTAATATATAACTTGTCGGTGTACCGTAACCACATTGCAATGAGTTAAACCACCATGTTGTAATGGGGAAGCTCCAACTTCCTCTCAGTTCCTCCAAGAAATGTTGTCCACTATGCACCGCTAAAAAGAAACATGGAGAAAATTGTCTGTCAGTCTGTGATGCAGCGTTGGGTCCCTTACTGAGGAAATGCCGGTGGAACACTAGAATCCAAAGGCGACGTTGCATTCTGCCGACACGGCCCTGTTCAATACCACTGGCATTAACAAGAGCATTCAATTCAAAACACAAGACGAATTCAAGTCGGTAACAGTATAATGTATATCACACAAAAGTAAATATTTGACATCCTTACATCTACGATATCACTTGTGTACCGGGGTGGTAGGCATATGCGTCCACTGTAGACAGAAAAAATGGCCGACTGGGGTACTTAATAATTATGAGCAGGGATGTTTCGCAAGAATTGTGAGAGAAACTGACGCAAATCACGCCTACATTCATAGAAATAGGTATTAGAATCATATTTGACAGAACAGTTCAGTACGTCTTCTTTTTTTTCTTCTTCTGTCTGATATGGGAGCAAAATACACACCAGAGTGTTGCTTGTTAACACCACGATACAGTGCCTCGCCCAAGCTCATGAAAAGCTATGAGAATGCAATGCAAGTGATTTTACTATGAAAATCATTGGAAGCAAATTTACTATGAAAATGCATTGTGAGTTTTACTATGAAAATGCATTGCAAATTAATTTACAATGAAAATGTATTGATCATTATTTTATTATAAAAAATTAGTATAAAAATGATTTTAATATGAAAATGCATTTAAAATGATTTTACTATGAAAACACATTGAAAGTGAGTTTTACTATTAGAATGAGTTGTACATTATCTTCCTATAAAATGCACTAAAATGATTTTACTTCGAAAATGTGTGACGTCGTCCCCTGGTCGCAGCGCCAACTGTGACGTCCTATCCTGGTCTACCACGGCACCAACTGTGACGTCCTCGCCGCG